AACTAATACACGCGAGTGTGATTCTTGACTATGCTCGATAAAGGTTGATGTTGAGTGCTTCTTGCTCGACTTGTCGTGCCAACGAGTTGCTAACAAGCTGGCTGCAAAGCTCGTGTGAGCTGGTGCACTGCGAGCTTACCCCAGTAGGTCATTACTCTGCATGACTGCTTCGCCACGGGAGTTAATTAAACGAAGTAGTTTTAGTAAAACAACGCAAGTTTTAGATCAGCCAATGACAGAACGATGGGGAAGCTTACTTTTACGTCGAGTAGCAACTTCAGTTTAGATTAAACTTTGGATGGTTTTAGGAGCTAAAACAACGGACAAAATATGTGAAAAGCACAATATTAGTTTTCCGCAATAAGTAAAAGTAGCGGCCATTTCTGTCCATATTCCTTATTTCAAGATATTTCGATATCATTTGGTTATTACCCATTTTATCCGGATAACACTATCGTTTAGGCATTGGAATACCGGTATCGAATTCTCGGAAGACATCGAATTCTCGGATACTAAACTTTTAACCAATAGATGTACTCCATTTCTGAGGGATTGCATACTATTGGCTGTATTATTATTATGCGCACATCCTATTGGCTGTATTTCTATTAGACACAAAATGTCTATTTTTAGTACCATACAAATCCTAGATGTTACGATTCTGAGAAATAGCGTTTCACAGACGATTTCTGCAAAGCAATATTGGAGATTCGGTATGAATTTCCGGACCCCGTTCAATCGAATCTCGCTGAGCGAATCGAGCACCAATCTCTCCCATTGGTCCATTCGAAATTACTTGTCTCTGATTGGCTACAATCCATTTTCGAATTTCTACTGGAAAGGACGAAGTGGATAATGGCCAATCAGATGTCTCGGCTGTATTTGTGCTCGATTGAACGAACCATGCAAAATTGGGATATTTGAAGAAAATCGACAATACTATTTTAGTATTATATTAAAGTTCACAACTCTCAGAGTTGTAGGTCAATTTGTGCAATTCGTCGTTCAAAAAACAATCTTGTGAATTATATTTTCCAGACATGTTATCTATGTTTCTCAATTCTTCTTACTTTTTGTATGAGATGGAATTGAAAATTTGCGTCAAAAAGTGTCCGAGAAATCGATTCGTTACCTTAACTCAGACATAGATGCGAGTTTTGAGGCATGGATGGTCCGTCCGTCCACGCCTGGGATAGTCCGTTCATGACTGGCACTCATTTTCATAAAAAACGAAATAGTATTGATAAAATATTTTGTCGGGATACGTCTTATTTTCGAACTAAATAGTAATACTGGTATGAATAGTTACAGCTACCAGTACGTACTTCGCACTGCTACGTAGCAAGTATTTACGGCGACAAGTTGTTACAGTACATACGTAATTTGCACATCAGCAAATGCAAATCACTACTAGTATTACGGAGGCAATAATTTCACCCAACCTTAACCGATTGTTGATGTGAAAATGAAACCCTTGCTTCTACATAACAGCACAGGCGCACCCACTCGATCCATCCACTTGTTGCACGGGGGGTGCTGAAGGTGTGGTGGACGAGGGAGTTTTCGGTGCAGTGGATGCGTGGGTAGGGGAAACCTCACTCCACAAAGTATGGCTCTTGACTACATACAGTATCATAAACGAGGGTAAAAGCCCCATGATAATTGCAGCTGCTTACCAGGATGGAAAGGCTGAACTTGCACCAAACTCACGGGGTCCAGTGGAGCGCAAGGTGCTGGGACCTATGATTCACGATGAAGACTCCTTTGAAAACGATTAACAAACCATCTCGAGGTACACGGCTTGGTTGCGGGCCGTAGCGATCTCAAGGTCGCGGTCAATGATGGTTTTCGATCGTTCAACTTCCTTGTTTTGGAGATTTGCCAGTTGTTCTTTGGCAGATTTGAACTGTGCGACGGCTTGGGCGCAGCCAGGCCCGTCGTTCTTCACCCATTCGGCCATTCCCTGTAAACGAGTGTTGACAGTTCACGAGAAAATGCGATAACGTACTTGGTAATACGAGCTCAAACCAACGTAGTACGCGTGTTTCCACGCACACCACGATGCAAACTTGGCTGGGGGATTTAACTCTATCACACACCATTGGCAACACAAACGCTTGAGACTCGCGAGGACAATGCGCTGTACCTGCATATCGTCTCGAGATGTCCATGGCCAGCTTGCCCATCAACACCCAATCCACCACGTCTTTGGTAACTCCGCGCAGCAGCACGAGTTCCTGGGCTTGGGCCAACGCCACGACGTTCAGCGCTTTGCTCACGACGCCACTTTCAAAGTCCTTGACTCGTTGCAGCGACTGCAAACTACGATTCAAATAGTGTACTCGCACCTTTAGCGTACCTGAATGTCCGAGTTGCCAGCCCGAGTTTGTTCCGCGCGCCATTGGGCCAAGCTGTCTTCGCTCAATTCCGTCGACGTCGTTGACGCTGTGCCGAGCCATGATAACACCGCGTCAAAGACCCCGGCGACACGCAACAGCAAATTGTACGCTTCCTTGAGCTTGGGTTCGTCAAACTCGAAATCCCGCGATCGCAGCATCACTTGAGTCTACACACGAGAAAGTCACCAGTGCCGTTCAGCCAAACCAACGCACCAAGTCATTTGCTCGCTGCAGACCGACACACCCAATGGCGAACAACGTGTGCGCGTATTCGTGGTGCGCGTTCAACGAGTGGACAAACGTCGTCGATGACACATCCATCCATTCGCAACACGTGAATGGAACCGAAGGTACTAAGGTGTCGTTGGAAAGCAAACCTTCTTGGTCGTCGGCGGGAGTGTCCACGACAGGTGGCTACACAATACTAGGTCACATCCGAAAATGAATCGTGGTTGCGGTACCTGTTCAGTGAATCCTTTCACCAACGACAGGTACTCGGACGCAGATTGGAAGTAAGCGTCGGTCTGGAAAAACGACTTTTCAACGTCCCACTGATTTTGGGTTGGTTTCTTAAAGTCCTTGCATTCGCACAGAAGCTTTGACCGTGCTGCGGTTAGTGCATCTAGAATGGCAGGCGCAACGTTGGCAAAGAGTGTCTTTTCGACCGAAAAGTTGACCTAGGAAGCACATCATCGCAATAACTCGAAGGAGGACATGTGTCCATCGTACCGGCTTGGTGAACTTGATGCCCAGAGATAGGCCATCACATGCTGGTCGCAACACTTCCTTCAGCGACATCAAGTCAGGACGCAAAATGAATGCACTTCACAACGGCGCCATCCAATTGGCTGTTTGAATAAACCGTATAGCATAACTCAAACACGACAGTTTTTTCGATGCAACGTCACGGATCAGTGATCAGCCGATTTGAGCTGCATTCTTTCGACCATACTGTAAGAGCATCTGCACCAGTGCCAGCAGTTCTCAGATCCCAATACCTGTAATTTTATTGGGCGATTTACTGGAATTCCATAAAAACCGTTCGCACCGGTACCAATAACCAGTAAAAAAGTTACTGGATTCACACTACGCCAACAAATATTCCAGTAAATTTGTTGGAATTTTTGTTGGAGTACTGGACTCCAGTAAGTCAACTGACCAATCATATTCACCTGTGACTCGATCGATTGCGTGGCATTGTTCAGCATTCCAAGTTCCGCCTGCTCCGCTCCCGCTGGGGCTTCCTTGGCCACATCCTTCGGTGACCCGTCAACCCCATACGATGTGGCCGAGGAGGCCCCAGTGGCCTACAAGTCTATGTCCCGGTCCTTTAGCTTTTCGGTTGCTGAGCATTGGCCTCGGCGCTCCATCACGTCGCTGCCTCGCGTCCTCAATGCTGACCTCAAGACCGTCCCCGGCTCCAGCGCCTCACGTACCTCATCGACCTGAAAGACCCTCCGCTCCAACGCCGCGGATTAGATCCGGTGGCTGGATATTGTCCGCGGCTTCCTGACCGAGCAGATCGTCACCGCATGCCCCACCATTCTCCAGCACTCAGACGTCTGATGTTCGACGTACCGGTATGCGAACTCCGCTAGCTATATACGCAAAGGATTTCTTTTTCACATGAGCAGGGGGAGCTGTGTCACGCATGGCTGAGTGCCTTGCTCGATCTATACGTATAATCGTCGGAAACGATCAAACTGCAAGTCAGTTCTACGCCCGAGTACTGCACACAGAGGTACCGGTTTAGTGAATGGCAAGCTGATTTGCTACTGTACATGAGGGCAACGGTAACATTTCCAATAGAACTGGTGATGGTCTCTCTATACATTCACTGGAGAGTCCTATGCAGCCGAATCCATCACGAAGCAAGTGCAATCTGTTTTAAAGTTACTGACTTCGGTGCGATATCAGTCAGAACACCCTGTTCGCTCATGAACATCACCACTGCCCTGAAGCCTCAGGTAACAGCATTGGCTGCAGCTAGTAGGAAGGTTTTGTGACTTTTAGAGGCTTTTCCTCAGATAGTTGATAGTCAGCCATATCCACGGTATATCATTTGGATGCCGTATCCTGTTAGGCTAGCCATTAGCTAGTCTGTCGAGCATTTAGAGCCAGTTGTTCTCACTGGTAGCTAAGCTAATTCACTTTCCGTTTCACCCGCAACCACCCAGTGTTCCTTCCCACTGGTTATGAGCTTCACCGCATCCTCTGCTGCGGCAACCCGTCCAACCCTCTCTGTCGTCCACCACCTGTGTGGACTCGACAACTTTGACGAGTGGCACTTTGAGTTGACCACGAGCGTCCCCTAAGGAGAAGGCCTGACAACTCAGGCGACGCAATGCACTGGCGTCGAAGCCAAGCGGTCCATCAAAGGCCTGACGCGTGCATTTCGCGTCCTCGATGGCGAGACCAAGAAAATGCGTCGGAACATCGACGACGCAGTCCTTCGACTGTCATGTGAGGCACCACTCCCCCTCCGGTCCTTGATGACGTAGCACCCAAGCTCATCGATCTCATCATGGAATACCTGGCCGAACATCGTTCGGCCAAGTTCCTCGAAGCTCGCGTGGCCATAGCCGCGCTAGAGCACCTCCTGAAATCCGAACACGGGGATGTCGAACGATCCATCGCGTTGGTCTACGCGTCGCTGTCAGAGGCAGTGCGCCGCGACGCTGCAGCCGCAAACCTTGGTCAATGCGCCCACTGCATCATCGAGTGGCTCCGCGGCAACTTCTGCAGCGAAGAGCAGAAGTTTGCGTCTGCCGTGGACGTCCACACTAAGTTCCACGGCTTTAAGTTCGAGCGATACTGCTCGCTTAACGGCAGCCTGGCCACTTTCGACAAGCTTCGAAAGGCAGTCGAAAAACGCGAGAGCACGACTCTCAGCGATAGCCATCTCGCATCGGTGTTGCTGTCCGCGTTGCCTGATTGCATTGCACGATGTGCAAGTATGGCGCGGTGCTCGACCGAGCATCCCATACACCCAGCTGCGGGAACTCTTGCCGTAGCACTGGCACGAGTTGACCCAGAAATACCCTGATTTCTTGGGTCCCAAACCGACGACTCATGCCGTTCCAGTTCATGGTACGGGCCAAGCGCCCGAAACCACTCGATCGAGCGCTTTAAACGCCTCTCAAGCTATGATGGCTACGGTCAAACGACCAGCCTCAGTCCATGGCGCTCGCAGCGCGACATGCCGCGCGGAGATCGCGGCTATTGTTACTACTGCGCACATGCAGGTCACCTCACGATAGATTGCACGAAGCTTTCTCGTGCATTTCACCAAAACGCGGTGCGACGCGATTTTGTCTTCCCACCCGGATGCGAAACCAACACGGTCAGTATAGTGGGCGTTCCCACCCCGAAAAAAGACCCACCAATCGCCCACGCGGCGGTCGATCCGCCCATCACCAAGTTGATGTTGGTGCTTTGCTCAACGCACTCCAATAAGGCCTAGTCCACGGCGGTCAAAACCGAGACGGCTACGCCCAACGCGGCCACTCCCAACAAGAAATTTAGAATAAAAAAAATTTCTAAAAATTATTAAATATTTTATATTAATAGCGGTTACGACCATGGCGGTTATTCGAACCGCGGCCACGCCCAAGACAGCCATTTCCAACGAGGCCATGGCCAAGGCGGCCAACAAAGAGTCGCGTCTTCGGACCGACGAGATCAACATGACCAAAGTCCGTTTCGCTACAACGGCGATCGCAGCCACTCGCGCGATCGGCCCGATGATTTCTTCAATGATGATTATCATTGTTTGGCTCCTCCAGAGCTGTACCCCGTTCAAGATGACCAGCGAAGCCGTAGTCGTAGCGTAAATCGCAGCGACGCTTCTCGTCAACATGACCAGACTCGTTATTTCAGTCTTCATGAATACGCACCTTTGCCAAACCAAAAATTACGACATCCCGTGACAACAAATCGGCATCAATGCCTCGATTATCTCCACCTAGATTAAATGATATTCAATCGGCATCATTGCCTAGATTAACGACACCTCTTGAACAACAAAAACATGTTTCGTTTTCGGTACTACAACAGTCCACCAACACTTCAAGTACAATTCCAAAAATACTTTCGAAAATACAAAAAGATTTTCGTCCACATTTTGACTCGCTCGATACATTATATCGCGGTCACTATTATACACAGCTACTGGCTGGGCACTTCGTGTGTCACCGACTAGTCCTATAGTTCAACAACAACTAGACTCCTGTCTATGGACAGTCGACAGTGGTGCTTCTAAGCACTCCACCTTCAAACGAGAATGGTTCGTGACATACGAAACCTACTCATCACTAGCTGGTGCAGCCGATGGCCACCCACTACACGTCGTAGGTCGCGGCACAGTTTGACTTTACGTCACTGATTCCAACGGCAACCCGTTGGCGATCTATCTGCAGGATGTATACCACATCCCAGAACTACACTTCAACCTCTTTTCCGTTGGTCGAGCCCTACACATGGATTAACACCGAATTGTCTCCATCGATCCCAACGTGTGGACTCTAGCCACATACGATGGCGAGTTCAAGGCAGACTATGCGCCGCACTCAGGGTTGTACGTCATATCAACGCTACCCCACTTTCATGTGCACGGCCCAGCCACGACTGTCCTTCTGACAAAGTCCAGCGCCCAGGGCACCATGCAGTGGCACCATCGATCTGGCCACACCAGTCATGGCAAGCTCCGCTGCGCTGCGGCGTCATTCGAACCTCTTCGATTTTCGGGTCTCACGACAAGCCATCACGGCTCATGCCTAGTGTGACACATGTCTAAGGTCGAAGTCCAAGGCACTTCCCTTGTCCATAAACAAACTCCCAAAGACGTCGAGGCCTCTCGAACGAGTGCACTCTGACATCTGGGGGCCGATCAACATCCCCTCCATCTCTGAGGGTAGATACTTCGTGACATTTATTGACGATTTTTCAGGATACACCTTCGTGTACATCATGCTACGGCGTGCAGAGCTGTACGAAAAGTACAGTACTTTCTGCCGGGATGCACGGACGCGCTATCGCTCCGACATCCTCGAGCGATGCTATCATCACTCACCATTAACAAGTGAGTTATAGGAAACTCGGGCGCTCCAAATGGTCAACGCCGCCGAATATGTCAAGCTCGGGAAGCGTATTCACCAACAATACGGAACCCGATTGACCTATACGAATGCCTACACACCGACACAGAATCCTGTGGCCGAGCGTCGTATGGGCATGATCGTCACGACTGCCCGGTCCATGGTACTGCATGGTAACCTGCCACAGTTTCTGTGGGGCGAGGCAGTATCACATGCAGTATTCGTCACGAATATCCTGTCGTCTACCACGATTAGTGGTGACACACCATATCGTATATGGCATCAAAGCCATCTAGACTACGATCGACTCCGAGTATTTGGAAGTGTGGCCTATATCAACACACCCATGCGTGCGGACAAATTGTCTCCACGAGGCATGCTGTGCATGTGCATCGGCGTACTATGTGCGCACGAACCGTGATGTCACCTTTGTTGAGCATCAGTTTCCCCTCCTGAAATCAGTCGAGGAAGTCAAACGACTGCGGACTGAGCTTCCACACCGTAATTGTTTTACTGTGGACAATCCACTTCCCCAAACACAAGCCCCGTTGCCATCGCATCTTGGGGAGGCTACTACAGCAATCACACCTCTACCCTTACTTGGGGAGGCTTTATACTCTGACTCCACGACTATGGCAAATACCTTTAGTACACAACATACCAGGCTAAGAAGACACTCGTAATTCGGAAGGTTCAGCACCTTCAGGAGGCTCACCGAGTCCTCGTCGACATCGAATCGATCGACACGAACATCAGTCGACGAAAATACCGACTCCGAAACGTCATCGATCTTTGACTTTTAACTCGACGGCGGAAGTATTTCCCGTCCCGTGTACCTCATTTCACGAGAAGTACAAACTACCTTACTCTGGAGTATGTGAATACGACATTCACCTCCAAGCCAACATTGTCACCTACGACAATCCAGTCGCTCGAGACTCTACCTCGACCCTCGTGGTCTCGAGTGACATCACGACCACACCAAAGAGTGTGTTATCGTCGCATCGCAAACTTCCACATTGGACACGGCGACGTCAACCTCACGACCCTGCACGACTTCTTATGCCATATATCGAGGACCCATCGAGCGCTCGGTCCATCTCGACACCAGAGCATGTCCTCATGGCCCTCAAGGTAAAAGCACCTACTGAGGAGCCCTCAACATATGCGCAAGCTATGAAGTCTTCAGCCAAAGTGCATTGGCACGTAGCCATGCTGCTCGAATTGGCTTCACATGAGGCGAACATGTCGTTCGAGAGCGCAACATTGCCTCCAGGGAAGTCAGCCCTGGGCATGCGCTGGGTCTTTAAGATCAAATACGATGACTCAGCCACTGAGGCTACGCGACAGGTCGTTCGCTACAAAGCGCGACTTGTCATCCAAGGACACACTCAGGTCCAAGGAGTCGACTTCGAGGAGAGTTACTCCCCAGCCATCGCAAAAGAAATTCTGCGATTGATGCTTACCCTC